CGCTCCACTGAAAACGGAATAAAGCAGAATAAAGAATGAACTGTCAACAAATAAAGTCGTTTTATGCAATAAAATGTTGCATTCATAAGTGAATCACATTTGCGAGTCAAATTATTAGTTTCATGTGGTTTTAGGGAATATTGAATAAATCGATTAAGGAACGCATGTGATAATTAATCTGTAGCGGACTAATCCTATATAACCTAAGCATTTTACCGAACTCTCACCAACTGTATATTTTTTAGGTTTTGTTGATTTGTGTCAGTGATTAACATCATAATACTGATTAAGTAACAGATTTAATCCAAGAAGATACATAGAGTTAGTATGAATGTCATACATTTGGAGTGAAATTGTACCAAGAAAACTTTCATATAAATCTCTATAAATCCAGTCTTCTGTATAGACAATGAAAAAATTTCGAAGATTCGTTACGTAGCTTGATGATATAAATTGTTATCTATGACACTCCATTTTTGTTTTTTTATAATAATAATACTTATTTAATGAGTTACCGATTGTTTTCTATTATCTGAATAATTTCAAAGAAAATAAGGCAAATATTTCAGTTATTATTTAGTTGATTAATTACTTAATTTAAACACATAAACATTTGTACAAGGAGGCACCAAATAGATATGCGCCACATAAATCATGCCATTTACGTGAGGGCTGGGATACTGCCTGTGTGGCCAAACCGAAGCAGGTAGTTTATTTCGGGGAGCCACAATCGGAGCCTATAATCTAAAGGTCTAATCCACAAGGCAGTGAAGCAACGTCAGGAGACGCAGTCCCATGGTAGCCGTTGACCAACTATAGGTTCATACACCATTGGTTTGGAATCAGGATTTTCCAATTCCCCTAAATGGATTCTCCTCAACCACCAACCCGATTAAAGAGTCGGACATTCGCCAAGAGAAGGCGGCGAGTAAGACTTCTCTGACAGTGGTTGTATGCACGTGGCCGTGTGAGAGTATTTCGAGAGGGAAAGATGACTTTCCCCACTCTCGGCCGTACCAAGGCATTTAGGGCAGTGCCAGGGCATTTGGAGGCTATTATTTAGTAAAATAAAGACAGTTCAAGGAAAAAATCTTTCTTTTTGACAATGTTATTTTGTAGAGTTGTACAAGTTTATTAATAGTATGATCTAAATAGCAAATTATAGTAATCATTCATAAGGTTACTAAAAATTCATCAAAATATTCTCTATTGTCTGAAATAAGTCACGTAATGGTTGAAGTGCAATAATGAGACAAAATTAAAAATGACATATGGAAGAGATATGAAAAATAGTTGACAAGTTTAAATAAGTGACGAGACCAGGATAACTGTAAATACTATCGTACAGTTTCAGAAAATGATATCACTGGGACACAATTTTTATTCATTGGACTGTATTTTACTCAAAGATGCAATGGGTTTTTTCTTTAATATTATATGGTGTTTATTTTCACATTGTTAATTCTACTGATCACTTTTTTATTAGTGTAAATTTACCACTTCATATCAACTATTTCATATCCTTTCTCCCTAAACGGAGAGGTTGATGGCTCGAGCACATCCTGAAGTTGCCGAGACATTTGACGCCAAATACAATCAGAGTCACTGGTGACTTCATCTTGCATACAGCAAAATGAAAGCATTCCGCTCAGGATTCCCATCGAACAATAGAAACTAAAAACTACCTGTATATTGTTTACGTAAAAGTGTATACATTTTTTTATAGGTACATATACAATTCGTTAGTATAATTAGTAGATGGTAATGTACCGCTTAATAGCGTGAAATTAATAAAAGAAATGTTTTGGTCTTGTGTTTCACACAGTAAAGGATTTATTTCATTTAAGGGAGATATTCCTTGTGAAACTGTCTAAAGATCATTTCCAAAGATAGGGTTTAGCGAATTTTCATATAATATACTGTAGTCACCCTGTTATATCTTTGTATGAGAAAGATAAGTTGGTACGACTGATCAGTTCAATGTACATATACACTGACAAGTTAAGAATATTATTTGACCTAAATTTCAATACAACACATTTTTTACATTCCAGAGTATTTCAAGAGGAGGAGCTGACTCTCTTCACCCTTGGCCGTACCATGGCATTTGTGGACATAATTAAGTTAGCCTGAAATTCACTTTTAAATTAGTTAAAACTCATTTAAATAACTGAAATAGTAAAATTTTGATTTATTTGATAGAAAATATATCTCGTAAATTAAGAAATTAATGTGTTCTATGTACCATGAAGCATAAAAACTTGCATTTAAACTATGTAATAGTTCATACGGTAAATGAACATCAGTACGTCAGTTTAATAGAAAACACAATAACATGGCACCACTTAATGGCAATCCAATTATAAATCGATAGTATTATTTCTCCATTTTTTTCAAATATAGTCCACATTAACTTTGTGGAAAATAAACATAGATGAGAACAGATGGTGGTTGGAGGTAGTCGACAGGAAACCCTGGACCCGGGTTTCGTGCTACTTGGCACTCGTGAAGCTGAGTGACACGGGATTGAATCCGTCAGGGAGCACCAGTTCCCTCAAGATTACAGGCACACCTTACTGACGTGTGCCAAGTAGCACGAAACCCGGGTCTAGGGTTTCCTGTCGACTGCCTCCAACCACCATCTAATCTTAACATAGTGCACGCAGTGTCGAGTCACCTAGACTGGTCGCCACGTTGCAGCATGGTCGATAGCATTCGATCTGCACTAATAAGAACTTGACACACATGACATTGATCACCACCCAGTGACCAATCAATTGTGATAGATAAGAATAGTTAAGTTTTTTTGGTCACCGTACTTTTTTATATTTTAGAAATTATGCAAAACTGGGCAATGAACCCTTGAGTATACACCATCTGCATGAACAACTAAAAAAACGGTGAACATCGAGGAGAAAGTCGTTTTTTTTAAAAAAGAGCGAAAATTTAGAAAATAGAGAGAATTTCTAGTTTAAATGTAATTACATTTAATATGATCGTAAGTTTTAAGGGAAAAATAAACGAAAGAACATTTTACTTCCCTACAATAAAGAAACACTACGAATTGGAATGCAAATTACAAACATTTGAATAAGGAAAGAGAGATTCGTGAAAGTTTTATCGTAATTAAGATCATACAAATATCATCGTTTAAAATTATTTTCAACGAATAATAATAATACTAATAACAATAGTGATAATGATTCTAATTACTATAATACGATTTTTTCTCTCAGAATGTATGCCTGTGATTAAGAAACAAGCTGAGAATATGACCAAATTTTACTGCCGAAAGAAAAGAGTGATGTATGCTTTTCAAGATAGATTCTTAAATATTCTGAAGAATATATTATACGAAATCTTTGTAAGAAATGATGTACAGATATATTTACTATATCATTAAGCTGCATCCTAGTATAGGATACAGTGGACATCTAGGATGAAGCAGGACGATCTAAACTTCGCACACGCAACAACAAATGCAGAAGACGACTATTGTAGCAGCAGTAGGCCTCAACATACACAAAGGAAAAAGCAAGATTCTCCGATACATTACAACATGCACCAATCAAATAACACTTGACGGAGAAGCTTTGGAGGATGTAAAAATCTTTACATATTTAGGCTGCATCATTGATGAACACGGTGGATCTGATGCAGATGTGAAGGCGCGGATCGGCAAAGCAAGAGCAGCATATCTACAAGTGAAGAACATCTGGAACTCAAAACAACTGTCAACCAACACCAAGGTCAAGATTTTCAATACAAATGTCAAGACAGTTCTAATGTATGGGGCAGAAACCTGGAGAACTACGAAAGCCATCATCCAGAAAATACAGGTGTTTATTAACAATTGTCTACGTAAAATACTTCGGATCCGTTGGCCGGACACTATCAGCAACAACGTACTGTGGGAGAGAACAAACCAGATTCCAGTGGAGGAAGAAATCAGGAAAAAGCGCTAATTAGATTTTACAAACTACTGTGTATTGGATATCGGAACACTGAAATGAACTTTTAACAACAATAACTCGGAGATAAAACACAGAATGAGTTTGTATAAGCTGTTATACATACTTGGTGTAAGGATACCAGAACTATTTCAATTCCAAAAAAATCACCTCAATGTTGTAAGAAAATTCTAAAATAATTGTAATCCTTGTATCGACGAATCAAGTGATCAAAAGTGGTAGTTACATAGCGGTATATTTAAAGTTATTTTAGAAGATAAATTTCATTCTTCACTAAAATAACTATCAAAGATTGCATGTTGGATCAAAGACCTTGAAATGTTCAAATAAGTTCCGTCAATGACATGAAAGTATATTGTCTTGAACTGATTATATAACTCGTTACGATAATCCAGAAGAAAATTGGAATTCCGAAATTCCAACTTTAGTAATGTGTGATTAATGCTGGTAACAGTTGAGGAAATTTGGTTGAAGTTATCTGCAACTATCCTAATATCAATATGTCGGTATATTCCAGGTAAAAATCCCAGATGAGAAACACAAAATGAAAATTACGTGCTAATAACTGTCGCTCGCATACTAAAATGAATGGAAAAATAGCTGAAAGTGCTGGTTGTGATACACCTAATGAACATCGAAAAAGTTGAGGTTTGATGTGCCCCCATTTTTATTCATGTAGTCGGATCTATAAAGCCAGACATATTTTTGAAAGAGGAAATGTGATAGGTTGAGTCGGTCAGACATATCAGTGCATGATCAAATGATGAGAGCTGTTAATGTGTGCATACCATTGGTTAAGATTTAGTTGAATTATTCGAGGTTGATAGATATACGCTATCGACTAAAAGTTTGACTCAAATTTCCATATCAATGAATAGGCGCATGTATAATTTCCATTCGGGCTAGTCACTAAAAGCTTTCTATTTGTGTTTGGTTTCCTCACTTAAATATCTGGTTGTACTCTTATAACGAAATTATATACATTAAAATTAAACCACAACGACTGTTTAACAACAAAAGACATGATCTCAACCTAACATTTCCACTGCATTCTACATATATATACAATAATAAATGAGTATTATTTGGAATAATGATAAAAATATTGAAAAGCTTCAATTATATCAAGTAAAATTATTGAAATATTGATGGAAAAAAGTGATAATGAAAAGAGAGAGAAAGAGAGAATAAACGTCCGATAAATGAATGAATACATATAGTATGTTAGGAAAAATTAATTTACAATATATGATACTTTCTTGTAGTGACAATGATCAAATTATCAGAACTCTATAGAGATGGTGAATACAATGACATTGACAATAATAACAAACATTTAAAGAACATAATTATTGAAAGACTTAAGGATAGAATTAGTGATCTAGACTAATCATCCATCCATAAATGGAATACACAAATATACAGAATGTGTAATGCTGTATGGAAAGAATTCAGTTGTTTTTCTTACTTAGTTTCTGATAAATTTTATTTATTAAATAAGTGGATTGATGATAATGGAAATATAAAATAATAATGTTTTAACTTATTAAATGATGTAAGTAAGTGGTTGATAATCTTTTAATCTATTTAACAAGAAGATAGTAGTATGACAAAGTTGAACATTTAAATAAAATAAAGCATAACAACATCTTACGGTAGAAATATTTACCAATAAAAAGTAAATAAAAAAATTTTTTAAAAAGAAAAAGAAAAAGAAAAAAACACAGAATAAACCAATATTTTTGGAGATAAACACAAATGGTATTATGATTATTTTAATCTGTTGAACCGGGTTTTAATGGAAATAAATATGTCATGATAAACATACAAATATCTGGATTAGTCCAATAGCTAGTATGTGAAGTCAATAGAGAAAGGTACATATTTTCATAACGTGATATTTGTAATTCAAAATCTAATCGACATTCAAGTTGTAACGGTTCATAACAACATAAATCATTTTCAAATAAATCATTAGATGATAATGATGAAGTAAATGAATTTGTTGTTTTTTCATCTTTTTTATTTGTAGAATTACAAAACTCAGAACATTTCTCTATAGAATTAATTTTCTCATCATTGTCATGGTTAGATATTTTTTCGGAAAGAGTAAGATCGATTCCTCCTGTTTCTTGACTTCCACCAGGTAAATATGGTGCTCGTGAGAAGAAACCAAATAATCGACCTATTTTAATATACGTAAAGAAAGGTAAATTAAGAGTGAAAATTGATAATTTGAAGGCTCTATATATTCATATTTAAAACAACAACAAAAAAGAATAAAGTCTATAACTTCAGTCAGTCAGTCAGTCAGTAACAACGTAGAACTTCGTACGTACGTACATCAGTTCGAGTTGCCACACCACATTAGCACAGAGATGCAGTTGTCGATTCAATCCCGTAGTGGTAGAGGTAATAAGAGTATAAGCAGTAATCGGGAAGATTAGGGTTTGGAGATGTTATTTAAAGAGTATAATACACTGAAATAAATTTGGAAGGAGGAAAAAAGGGACATGAAGAATTCAGAAGATTAGAATTTGGGAGAACACAGAGAGTGGATGCACCTGCGCCATTGCAAACGATTTTGAGCCATGTCATTCAGGGTCTCCAACCATCGGTTGCTATCATCTCGCGGTCCCCAACCAGGTAGTCTACACCTACCAACATGACTCAGTTCACTTGTCAGTGACTTCATGGATTTGTGCCATGTTTTGGTTTGGCCGCCCCTAGCTTTCTTCCAACCTACTCCTATACCACTGAACATAGCACGTCGAGGCAGTCGGTCGTTGGGCATACGTAACACGTGTCCCAGCCATCTCAACTGATGAAGTTTCACTACTTCATCAATTGATTTGCCATCCTTACCTAGTACCCGTTTCCTAACAACTGTGTTACTTACTCGATGGTCCCATGATATACGAGCAATGTTTCGAAGACACCTATGATCAAATACTAGTAACCTACGGATATCCTCTACTCTTACCGGCCATGTTTCACTGCCATAAAGTAGGACGGAGCGAACTGCTGCGCAGTAAACACGTCCTTTGATTGATAGACGGATATCTCGCCTACGCCATAAATGACGCAAGTTGGCAAAAGCTAGTCGAGCCTTCTGTATCCGTGCTGAGATTTCGTCACACACCAAACCACAAGGGCTGATGAGACTTCCAAGATAAGTGAAGCGGTCGACACACTCAACTACTTCACTCCCTATCACTAGTTCGGGTGTCGATGTAACCCAATCCTGAAGCAACATTTTGCATTTCGAGGGAGAGAATCGCATCCCGAACATGCTTGCATTGTTGCTTAGAGTGGTCAGAAGACTCTGCATTTTGTCAGCGTCTTCACCAAATAAAACTATGTCATCAGCATATTCTAAGTCAACAAGTGAACCTCCCGGTAGAAGTTCAACCCCTGGAAATTTAGATGAGGAGAGTGTTATCTCTAAAAGTACGTCGACCACAAAGTTGAACAAGAATGGGGAGAGTGGACAGCCCTGACGAACACCACTTGAGGTAATCAATTCTGATGACAGTTCGCCATAAGCTCTCACTCTACCAGTTGTGTTCGAGTAGAGAGCCTTTACAAGGTTAATGTACTTCTTTGGTACTCCTTTCAGTGACAAACACTGCCATAGAACCTCACGATCAACAGAGTCGAATGCCGCCTTAAGATCGAGAAATACTATCATTGTGGGGCGTCTGAATGTGTGTCTATGTTCTAGAACCTGACGTAGTGTGAATATCTGATCTATACAACCACGTCCAGGTCGAAAACCGGCCTGGTTTTCTCTAATCTGCTCTTCACGAGCTTTGATTAGGCGTCGAAGTATTATTGAAGCTAATATTTTAGACACTATATTAGTCAAACTGATTCCTCTGTGATTGTCACAAGAAGATTTTTGTCCTTTCTTATAGACTGGCACAATCAGTGATTGAGACCAGTCAGATGGAATTACGTCCAGTTCCCAAATTCTACCTAAGACCTCGGTTAATCTCACTGCTAATACTGGACCACCATCCTTAAAAATCTCAGGAGTAAACCTGTCAGGACCTGCTGCTCTCCCTCGTTTAAGATTTCCTATGGCTTTTTCAACTTCGAAAAGGGACGGAGGACCTACATTAACTTGCCATTCAGGTTGACTGGAGATCGTGGGAAGCCGAAGTGTGGCTGAAGGCCAGTTGAACTGATCCCTAAAGTGTTCTGCCCATCGATCCAATCTCCTGGATTGAGAATGAATAATATGTCTATAACTTACTATTAAAAAGGTTTGAGTTATTCCACTGTTGATATTTTTGGTTCGATTTTAATCGGTTTTGGTTAGCACATGTTCATTCTTAGCGGATTACCTCAATATAGCCATTTTCACAAGTATATAAGTTGCAAATAGGACCGAATGTGCGACCAGAATTCCATTACTAGCCACAGTTCATCTGTTCTATAAAAACATGTGTGGAAAACGGCAATATCGAGGCAATTCAAACAAGATGGAGATATCATAACCAAGACTGATCAAGAATATCAACAGCGGGATAACTCATTCTTCTATAAAAATGATATAAATATTATACCAGTTATACAAGTGAGTGGTTATCTGGACTCAGTAGCTAAGTTGATGACACTGTTGTTCGAGTCCCGATGTGAAAATCAATAGTGAGATGCAGGTATTACCAGCTGACGAGTCCCAAATAAGACGAGACGTGCATCCGGGATTCGACTACTAGCTACAATCCACTTGTTTAAGGTTTAATTTTAGAATCATATAGAATGTAAATCTTTGGAATTAAATACGTAAAAGCTATGTGCATTATATTTACGAACTCGGAATACGCAGAGATTAAACTAGTAGTGTATATTGTTGCCATAAGACACCTTAAAGTTCTCGTATTAGGCGAAAATTAGGACAGAATAATGTAAATGATTGAAGTTGTGGGTCTACTGGACGCAAACAGCTTATTGTTTGTCAAAATAATTAACACTATTTCGTTTCTTCTATTGTTGCTGAAGATAATTCTATTTGAATTGAACACATTGGTTGTTTTTAAGGGTGGCTAAAAAACACTTAAATAAATTTATGACATGGACAGTTGCTAAAAATTTGTATCGACTTATGAACAACTCTTTGTATTGAAACCGAGCGACTTAGAGAAACATCTTGGCATAAGAACTCCAACATACAGGTACGATATCCAGGCATAAAGAGAAATTATCAGTGACTAGACAAAAGAAGTTATAGAGTATATTTCAGCTGATACCAAGTGCAGACAAGATTTTGTATCCGTTTGGTTGGATAATAAAGGGTAGATGTGTTGGCTAACAAGATTAATGTTTTTCTAACGGAAGGCAGAATTATGTATGCCATTTAGTCAGTCGACTTCTAGTGTTGTTGAGGTGTTGGACCAGATGCAAAAGATCCTATGTAGTCATTTATGTCAAATGACGTCCTAGGAATGATTGATGGGTGTGTTGTGTTAGCATTTATGGGCACATGAAAACTTTCTAGATTAGATTCTGGAATTTATGCGATTTTGTGGCTTGAAAATCTGTCAGTGGAGATCATTTAGTAGTTTCCTTTCGTGTTCTGTATAAGTAGGATGTATTTCAGTTATATTAACGCCTTTCTACTCGTTATAGGTAGGTCATAAAGTCAGTACGGTTAGCATTTGATGCCTAGGTATAATAGAAAGCTAACAAGCATGCTTAATCGACGTCAGTCGAAGATAAAACTCATATACAAAAACTAAACTAGAATTTTAAGTTTACTAATGAATAAAATATAAAATCCAAAATTATTCATAGTCCAGTTATTACTTTTCCTTATTAACTCACTAGCAATTGATGAACGTCTAGAGGAATCTGCATCTTGTGTGGTTATAAGTTGATTTGTATCTGAGCAAGGGTTTTTCGCTACTTGTTGATGCTAAGACAAAAAAATCAGTAATGTAAACAAGTTGCAATACTTTTTAAACAAAATTTATTTAAATCAAAGTTATTACGTAAGCACAATAGTATGTTTGTAAAGTTAAGCAACTTTTGGAGGTTAGACTATTTATCGTGGATGTTATAGAATACTAAATGTGACTAATATCTGTAGTCGAAGTAACCTGCGGTTTGCCAAGAAGTAACGACAAGCATATCCGGTTACATTAAACATAAAACATTATATTGTAGAATTCATTCTATACTAATTCCTCTAAATGATTACTTTGTACTTTATGTCAATAAACTATTTCGGTCGTAATATCTATCTCTCTACCGAACAGTCCGACTTACGTGACTGTGCAATTAAATGTCCAGAACAAAACGATTTCCGTTAAAACAATAACAAACAACGAATATTGGATTCACATAGTAATTTCCAGAGACGTATAATTATTATGCAATCAATCAACCAATTGATTAATCAGTGAGTATTTGGTAATAATCATTAATGACTTACACAATTTTGTGGTTTTGGATGTTTGAATTCTTTACCAGAATATTCAAGCAAAGGAAGTGTGTCATAGCATGGTTTTGAAACAGCATCAACTCGATGAATCAGAGCTGGTTGGATAGTGGAATAATATTTTAAAATTAATGGTTCTAAACGATAAGCCTAAAAGAAGTGCGAAATGAAATAGAGAAGAAAGATAGATTATAAAGTCGTAAAAACTATTTTATAAAACTATTAGACAGAGAAAGCACTGACGATACAGATCTGCTCTTTTTAGTTTGATTATATCGTTTAACATGTCTCTTAAACGAGGAAGCATATTGTTAGATAATTAGATACAAATACATATAAATTGGAAATGATTGAAGTTTCGATCACTTTTGAAAAATAACTTCAATTTTATTCTGACTGAATTCATCTTCAAAAATGATACTTATATACGTGTATGGAGTGGACATATTTATTTTTTATAGGTAAACCAAATAAATGCAAATACTGTTATTGACTTAGTAGTCTAAAGGTTAAGTGTCTGCCACGAAACCTTAAGGTCTTTGACTTGATACCTGGTATGGTCATAAGTATGAACTGCTGAAGAGTACTGCACTAGAACAAAACAACTGTCCAGTACTTACTGGTTGTCTAAATGATAATATTTCGTAGTGTAAGCCATGAAATACTGTTGCTGATATCCGTAATCTTTCTTCTGATAAACCACACTATAGTTGCATAGATATAACAATATTTACATAGGTTATTCAAAACAAAAAAACAGATAGAAGTATAATATAGATTCTTCATATGACAAATGAACAGTTTGTTCAGACAGTATAAACAATGGAGAGTACTGATAATCTTTTGTACTTGAACGCTTAGACACTGACTTCCAAATCCCCAGAAATCCTCTGCTCTCTAACTCCAAGAATGAAAAACAAGTGCGAGATACGGATTGAGCTCTACTTCCGAGATTGGTTTATTTATAAAATGCAGGGGTAATCATAGTATGAGACCCTGAGACTCTACAAGCTCCCAGAATCATGTTCAAATAAGTAAGAAAATCGGTTATCATTCAGACAGATAGTGTTGACCTAATCCACCGTTTTCTAGAGGACGCTGACTGCCCGAAGTATTTTTACAATTTCCCTGGCTTCTGAAAACGTTCTTGAGAAATTATAAAAAGAACTTTAACAAAAGTCAATGTACTACGTACTACTATCACTTTTTTTTAGAAAAATCAGTTAAATTGCCTCTTTCTCACAGCACATGACTCGAATATTTTATCGCCAAATGTGTTTAAGAACGCAGACAATGTATCTGTTATTATAACGTTAACAAAAACTGTCATATGATTGACAAGCCACTAATGTCTGACAACAATTTTGGCTAAAAAAAAGACCAAAATGAATCAAGTGATCATCATCTCGTTTTTTTAATGTGATTATAACAATCTTAATGGATTGACAAACTAAGAATGGAATATAAATACTTTTCTAATAAACATTTTTATCTTCATTATAATGGTAAATTTAATTTTTATAACTAAATGATGTAAACTAAATTCTCTTTTTTGGGTGTATTCGTTGTAATATTGTTACTTCTAGGAGTACATTGACAAAATAACTTGTACATATAAACATATATTTGGCTTTCATTCTAACACAAGATATATACATTTTAATTATATATAGTTTTTCTTGAATACTTCCATGTAAAACGCGAATCATAATATTAAAAACAAATATTACTTACTACAGGATCTGCTGGATGGTAAATGTTAAAAATCCGGGGACAAATTTTTCGAGGAAGTATTGAGTCTTGAGTTTGAAAAGGACCAGGGCGGATACCACGCAAAACCAAGTACACACCCAAAGGTGAGCCCAAGCAGAAAAGGTTTTCTAGCTATAGAACAGTGTACATAAGGATTAAGTCATGTGTGCTGAAAAACTACACGGTTGGAAAATGAACATGTAAAGAGAAATAACAATGATAATCGCATGTGGTATGAAACAACTGTTTTGTCTTAGTTTAAGACTTACCAGCATCGTTTATTTGGGAGCTTATACATAATCAAGACTTGGGATAAAGTTTTTGTTATATTACAAATTGATTGAGTACAAAAATACAAATCATTGGATTTCATCTTAGTGATCTAAAAGGTGTCGCGTACTCAGAGGTTAAAGCCCGTGTGCAGTGGTGAATCCGTTTGGGTGAGAGGTTCGAAAGTACTTGGAATGCACCTTCATGATGATGAAACGTCATAAATTTAATTAATCACAGTGTATTCATAACACAATAATAACATACTGAAATAAACTATCATGAATAAAACTCCTTTCATGGGGGCCATTCTACAGATTCTTTGAAATCTAGGTTAATGCACTTTTAATGTTGGATGACAGTTCTAGTTGTCAGTGTCTAGACCTAATAAGTACATGCAAGTTTCTGTTGGTTTATTTCAATATGCAATAAATTAATAAAAAATAAAACACGAATAGGGCTGTCGAATCAAAAAGATATCGACCTTTTAGTCTACATGAAAAACTAGGTAGTGTAAACAGATAATCAGATATAAGAAAATAATAAGAGATTTAATATTACTACGGCTTACTGTTGTTAGCAATCTATCAGCTTTAAATTACTTTGTAGCTCAAACTTTATATAATCTAATAATGTTGTTTAAAAACTACTACGAATAGAAGAAACTTAGTGTCATGATAACTCATCGAGCTACCAACATTGGGACCATAAACAGGTGAACTCGTTACAATACAGATAAACTTTGTTAATTTAACTGATCTTCTAATCGATATTAATGACTGACCAAACAATGGAAAAGATAGGACATTAAATTGAATAATATTCTAAAAACATGATTATGGTAAAACATCATTTCGGAGAAAATAAAACTTACTTACTTACTTACGCCTGTTACTCCTAATGGAGCATAGGCCACCGACCAGCATTCTCCAACCCACTCTGTCCTGGACCTTCTTTTCTAGTTCCATCCAATTCTTGTTCATTTTTCTCATGTCTATTTCCATTTCTCCGCGTAATGTGTTCTTTGGTCTTCCTCTTCTCCTTTGGCCTTGAGGATTCCATGTGAGGGCTTGTCTTGTGACGCAGTTGGGTGCTTTCCTCAATGTGTGTCCTATCTACTTCCAGCGCTTCTTCCTGATTTCTTCCTCCACTGGAATCTGGTTTGTTCTCTCCCACAGTACGTTGTTGCTGATAGTGTCCGGCCAACGGATCCGAAGTATTTTACGTAGACAATTGTTAATAAACACCTGTATTTTCTGGATGATGGCTTTCGTAGTTCTCCAGGTTTCTGCCCCATACATTAGAACTGTCTTGACATTTGTATTGAAAATCTTGACCTTGGTGTTGGTTGACAGTTGTTTTGAGTTCCAGATGTTCTTCACTTGTAGATATGCTGCTCTTGCTTTGCCGATCCGCGCCTTCACATCTGCATCAGATCCACCGTGTTCATCAATGATGCAGCCCAAATATGTAAAGGTTTTCACATCTTCCAAATCTTCTCCGTCAATTATGATTGGATTGGTACATGCTGTGTTGTTTCGGAGAATCCTGCTTTTCCCTTTGTATATATTGGGACCTACTACTGCTGAGGCCGCTGCTACACTGGTTTTCTTGTCCTGCATTCGTTGTTACGTTTGCGATATGAGGGCCAGATCATCTCCGAAGTCTAGATCGTCCAATTACATCCTAGATGTCCACTGTATCCCGTGTTTCCCTTCAGATGTTGACGTCTTCATGATCCAGTCGATCACCAGAAGAAAGAGAAAGAGTGAGAGTAAGTAACATTGCCTGACACCGGTCTTTATTTCGAACGACTTTGTCAACTGTCCTCTATACACAATTTTGCAGTTTAATCCATCATAGGAATTACGTATGATATTGACTATCTTCTGATGCACGCCGTAGTGTCGAAGAAGTTTCCATAGTGTTGTTCTGTCCACGCTGTCAAATGCCTTTTCGTAGTCAATGAAGTTGATGTAGAGTGATGAATTCCATTCAAATGATTGTTCCACAATGATCCGTAGAGTTACGATTTGGTCTGTACACGATCTATCCTCACGGAATCCTGCCTGTTGGTCACGAAGTTGGGCGTCTACGCAGTCCTTCATCCTGTTTAACAATACCCTGTTGAAGACTTTTCCCGGTATTGAGAGAAGAGTGATGCCTCTGTAGTTATCACACTTGCTGAGATCGCCTTTCTTCGGTATTTTGATCAGGAGTCCTTCTTTCCAGACTGTTGGCACTTGATCCTCATCCCAAATCTTATTGAAGAGAATATGGAGTATCCTTGCAGTTGCCGCTACGTCTGCTTTTAGTGCCTCTACTGGGATGTTGTCCGGTCCTGCTGCTTCGCCACTCTTGATTTGTCTGATGGCCATGCTGATTTCTTCAATTGTTGGTGGGCCAACATTGATTGGGAGGTTCGTGGGTGCTGCTTCGATGTTGGGTGGGTTCAGTGGAGCTGGTCGATTCAAGAGTTCTTTGAAGTGTTCTACCCACCTGTTTTGTTGCTCTTCAATGTTGGTGATTACCTTGCCTTCCTTGCTTTTCACTGGTCGTTCTGGTTTGCGGCGATTTCCAAAGAGTTTCTTTGTCGTGTCATACAATTGTCTCATGTTTCCTTCTCTTGCAGCCTTTTCCGCCGTCGTTGCTAAATCTTTCACATATTTACGTTTGTCGGTTCTGATGCTCCTTTTCACTTGTTTGTTTATTTCCATGTATTCAGCTTGTGCCTTGGCTTTTTCTGCTCTTGTTCGACTGGTATTGATTGCTGCTTTCTTGAATCTTATCCAGTGTATCAACAGTGATCCATTCCTTGTGATGGTGCTTCTTGTGACCCAGGACCTCATGACATGTTGAAGTGATTGCTTCTTTGATCCCCTTCCAGTTGCTCTCCACAGTGGTTCCTTCTCCATTGAGTAGATCATGAAAGGCCTGGAACTTGTTGCTGAAAACTATCTTGAATTTCTTGAGTTTGTTAGTATCCTGAAGAAAGGCCGTATTGAACTTTTGTGATATTGTCCGCCCCATTGTCCAGTGCTTCTTGAGTTTCAACTTCATCTTGGCGACCAGCAAGTGATGATCTGATGCTATATCAGCACCTACTCAAAAGACACATTCCATTATCAACAGAAAGACAATGAATAACAATTGAAAGTCAGAGGAGAAATCCAATTTAAGGATCCTCGAAAGGTAGTGTGGTTATTAGCGAGATTAGAGTGTAGCTATTTGGACACAACCAACGTTATATATGTATATTATCGTAAACATTGTAGATAGTAAAGCGAGCATAGTGAAACTTACATTATCCGCAAACAATAAAGGATTTTGTTGATGTAATGAAGAGTTTGGGTGACATACTGAAGGTTTACTATATACTGACTGGTCGTCCTGATGATTATTACTAACATTTGACTTCTGAGAATCACAATTCATGTGATTGTCACGAGTAAATAGCAAGCTGCTTAATTCCTGTTCTAAATTATTCACCCTGCATAATACATTTTGAAAAAAAAACGTTGACGACATTTTAGCACATAACAGATGAAGAGCATTTTAATGACATACACAGGTCTTGTCAGAATGATTGCCAATGTCCAAAACTTACAGTTATAGACGACAATGGATGCACACTGCTGAGGAGTCCCATACTAGGACAAGACGGCCATCCAGTACTCCTAGTTTTCCACTGGTGTTCTAACTTAAATTGGTTCATGACATGCAACAGTCTACGCAACTCTATACTGAAAATAGTAAACTAAACATTTAATGTTATATAAGATTAATTAGTATTGACCAACTATCGAGTATAGTTAGGCTCTAGATACAAAAAAAGGAAATTCGGTTGGACAGATGATGACCAATGGTAGGTTCTAAAAGTTTAATGGGTCTATTTTAGAATAAAAGTGTAAAGAATTACGTATTTCCAAACAGAGAGGCCCCCAAAAGCCCTGGTACGGCGGAGAGTGGGGAGAGTCTGCTCTCCCTCTCTAAATGCTCTCACATGGCCACGTGCACACAACTACTGCCAGGGAAGTCCGACTCTGCCTTCTCGTTGTGGGGGTGTTGTTTACAAAATTGACAGGATAAAAAGCGAATTTCCGGCGCTTTAACCGGGTTGGTGGATACGGAGGGTCCACCTAGAGGAGTTGGAAAACCCTGATTTCAAACCAATGGTGTACATGGGCTACAGAATTCTGAATGAACAAATGGCGTATGAAGCAATCGTTGGTTACCGACTACCATGGGACTGCATCTCCTTACGTTGCTCTACTGCCCTGTGGATCAGACCGTTAGGTCGAAGGCTCCAGATGTGGTCCCCTAAGAAAACCACATGATTCGGTTTGGGCACCCGGGCAGTATCACAGCCCTCACATAAATCTAATGAGATTTATGTGGCGCATATGTATCTGGTGCCCCCTTGTACCAATATTTATGTGTTTAAATAAATAAAATAAATAAACAGAGGCTAAACTCCGAGAACATTATATACTAAAAAGTTTTGAAATAACTTGTTCATTCAGTTATAACAACTGTAAGGAACTGTGGCAAGTTATCCATCGGTCCAAGTTACCAAAATTTACATCAATTTAATAATAGACCAATGAGATAAAATGGAAATAAATAGAAACAATAATCGATGTGTTGATCCTAGTAAGCCATGTTCGGCTAATGAGCAGCTAAATTAAATATAGGAGACTATCTTATAGATAAAACTGATTTTCATTTTTCCAAGTGTCGATTGCTTCATATTATATTATTAAAGTCTTATTCTGACCTACATCTGGCTATCGATTACTGGTTGGATAATTGTATAACTGCATCACATGATTAAGTAATTTGTTTATTACTCAGTCTAGTCCTACCGATCTAATTATCGAGGGACGTAGTGTCCGGTGTATCAACTATATCGTCACTAACCGTTGCTCATTAACTTCAATGCTAACCAACACAACACATAGGAGTAGGGTTTTGTTAATTATGTATCTTAACGGACTGCGATTTGAATTCACCATAAAATAAAAGCATCACTAGTAACATTTTTAACAACACTTTGAGTTAATACAATAAAATTATGTTATTATCAAAGTAATATGTTAGCTATAACTCTTCAAACTTAAAATGAATTAGATTGAATATAACTATTATAGAAATGCTATCATCTACAACTGATAATCAGTAAGCAATTGAAAAATGAATTAGAAAATTCAACAGTTGGTTAAACCTTCATGAAGCTAAAAACTAAAAGAGAAAAGAAATCTCTGATCCAAAGTCATATTTTTTAGTTAAAGTATTCACTATTAATTTAATTGAAAACTTTTTATACATGTGGATTCCTAGTTCAATTTAAAACCATGCTCATGAGAAAGGAAATTCTCATAAATTTGCCGGAATTAAATATTTCATAAGATCAGAATTGATTTCCGTAGTGAATGGAAAATCTGTCTTGAGGTCTATAATTTGTGTACAATATTCGAAAACATGAAATTCATCACAGTAAATAATTGAGATGCCAGAACTGTGACTGCACTATAATTTTTTGTAAAAAAATCAAGGGTTTTTTGTACGATATTTATTAAACACTGAAATTCGCATTTCTTAGTTAACTGAGGAAAGCTAATTCGTTAAATACATCAAACCAAAAATCTAAGACAAGCACTCACAATGTCCTTGCAGTTTCCAACCGAATATTAACACGAGCAATTTGTTCCAAGTTTCCATTAGACGACAGTCTGTGATCAGGATATAGCACATTCAAGTTATTGTTTGGTAAAGTCTGAGAATAAGTACAAAAAAGGAAACAAATTATTTAAGTATAATCGAGTTTCACTTGTTTTTTAGTGGTTGAAAAGCTCTGATTTATTTAGTCATGCAAGTTTAGGAGTTACAATAGATAAATAACTTGAATGTATCTTGTTACTAAGACGGCAAAAAAATACGGTATAGTGTTAGTCATAATAAATGTAGGACCTAAAGAGAACATCCATTAGTCTAAGCTGCAACAACTACGTATAGAGCCTGGACTTATTAATACATATATTTTTCCTACCAAAACCGCATTCCTAAGCCTCAACACTTCCCACTCCGTGGTTTTATTATAGGGGAGTAATGCTTCGAAGATACTTGTAACCAAATACTAACAAACTGAGCATGTGTTCTACTTTCATAAGTTATATCCAACAATAATGTGATACGGAGCAGACTGGTCTGTTTGGTCTGAATTAGGAGTATGGTTTGAAAAAGCAGAAAGAAAAGATTTATATGGAGGAATACTGGAGCTTAAGATTTAGAGATAAATAAGGGATGAATGCATCTGTGCCACTACAACTAATTCGGCGCTGTTACCTGTCTACAACCATTAATCGAGGTTATTTTACGAACACCAGACAGCTAGTCTGAATACAATAACATGGATCAGACCAGTAATCAATCACTCTATGGACTGATGTCACTTTTTGGATTGGCCACCACTAGCTTTCTTCCAACCTTCGTCATCACCATCGAACATGCCAAGGAAGGAAGTGGTTCCAGTCAGTCAGTCAGTAACAACGTAGAACTTGGTACGTACGTACATCGGTTCGAGTCGCCACACCACATTAGCACAGAGATGCAGTGGTTGATCCAAATCCCGTAGTGGTAGAGGTAATAAGAGTATAAGCAGTAATCAGGAAAATTAGTGTCTGGAGATGTGATTTAAAGAGTATAATACAGTGAAAAAAATCTGAAAGGAGAAAAAAGAGACAAGGAGGATTCAGGAAATTAAAATTTGGGAGAACACAAAGAGTGTATGCACCTGCGCCATTGCAAACGATTCTGAGCCATGTCATTCAGGGTCTCTAACCATCGGTTGCTATCATCTCGCGGTCCCCAACCAGGTAGTCTACACCTACCAACATGACTCAGTCCACTTGTCAGTGACTTCATGGACTTGTGCCATGTTTTGGTCTGGCCGCCCCTAGCTTTCTTCCAACCTACTCCTATACCGTGTGGCGCATATATATTGGCGCTCTCTTGTTCCAATATTTATGTGTTCGAATAAATAAATAACTCCTATACCACTGAACATCGCACGTCGAGGCAGTCGGCCGTTGGGCATACGTAACACGTGTCCCAGCCATCTCAACTGATGAAGTTTCACCACTTCATCAATTGATTTCCCATCCTTACCTAGTACCCGTTTTCTAACAACTGCGTTACTTACTCGATGGTCCCAGGATATACGAGCAATATTTCGAAGACACCTATGATCAAATGCTAGTAACCTACGAATATCCTCTACTCTTACCGGCCATGTTTCACTGCCATGGAAGTGGTTCCGGATAAGTAATAAGTGTCCTAGCCATTTCAGTCGATGATGATTCACAACATGATCAATGGATTCGCCATCTTTGAGTATTACTACCCTGAGTCTAACATTGCTCATTTGGTTATCCTAACAAGCTCGAGCTATCCTTCAATGATACTTACGAACAAATACTTCAGTTTTCGAAGACAATATTTTAAAAAGTTGGAACTCAAATGTATTTGCAACTACAGACCTATAATAACAACGTTCTATGATTTACTGTGGTGTTTGAACTAATGATACTTTTGTACTTGTTCAATGCTCGATTTCGAATTCCAAATACAATACATTCGTTTGTGCTTGTGTCTCACTTCTTAATTCAATTGCGTTATTTCTGGGACTCTTAGTTCGTGCTATAATTCAAATAATTCAAAACATTATATTGGCGTCGCGATGGAGCCTGTAATGGAAAAGTTAGATATTCATTCAACTTCGGGAGCTTTTGAAGATTACTTTGAAAGGTTCGAAATCTGGGCTATGACTAAGGAAGATGATGAGGATGTTATTATTCTGGCACACTTCCTCACATTCATCGGAAAAGAAGCATACAACTTATTAAGAATTCTGACTATGCCGGAAAAGCCTATCTTGCTTTCTTATACAACTCTCAAGGAACTGCTGCTAGACTATGTTAATTATACAAATTTCGAATGCGGTAAAGGAGGAAGATCTCGTAAAATGATTCATAAGGATATAAAAAACACCACTACATTACTACGTCATCCCAACCCAGTGCATACTCAAGGTTATGCAGATAATTCATTGAGGAGTTTGGATGCAGTTCACGAGGATGGGGACAAGTTTGGTCAGTGTTTGTCCTGTTGCAAGTTCCACTCTTCTAATTCATGTCAATTTCGTAATTCTAAGTGCTTCAAATGTCGTGATATTGGACAAGTTCAGTCAGTTTGTAATGCTAATGTTCATCTTACTGCAACTAATATTAAGTCTTGTAACTCTGATTCTACTGAGTCGAGTATTCATGATGATCATTTATCTTTATCAACGATTTCAAAAGACAGTGCAGAGTCATATGGCAGTTCAGAGTTAAATGAAATCCAGAATTATTATTATTGTTATTATTATTATTAGCTTTATTCAATATTATAATTTTGGTAGAATATAGAATTCTCAGCGCAAAGTATTTCAACAAGTTTCCGTTTCTTTCTTCTTGGTCGGTCCTGGCGATAAATATTGAGGAATCGCCAGTTAGATGTTAGCACTTCAGTGAATGAACAACTGAATAATGTACATTCTTTTCGTTGTACATTGCCAGCAACCATATTGCCTCTTATTGAGTTTTCTGTAACTTTGACAACGAAAGGTTGTACACTTTTCAGAAACGCAGCAGAATAGGTTATGCGATTAATAAACATAATGATATATTAAAACAAACAACAATAGATAACTTGTTGTAATATCTAGATGGCAGGAACAGGTAGCCCAGATGCTCAAGCAGGCCGCCCTTGTGAGGCAACAGTTCCTGATCAACCGATTTATCAGAATTCTCATGCTATTGTACCAGGTATGACTTTTCCTAATAATTCATATATTTCTAATGAAATTACTTGCAATTCTGAGGAAAATATGTTAAATGAACCTAATCATGATCGAAAACCTGATGTGGCTTGGATAGATGCTGATTTTTCTAATGATCCTACGCTCTGCAATGACAGTCCTAATGAATTTCATGAGAATATTTCAGAAGAATCAATCCTGATGTCATACCATATATTATCTATCCTCATAATGCATTTGATCCTTGTGAAAAACCTGCTCAATGCGAAGCACGAGTACTAAGTGACCTCGAGTTTGATTACAATTCGGATGATTTCATATCAACTGCTGTTTACCCTTATCACAAAAACAGTTCTAATGTTTACTCTAAACAATGTGAGAAATATGTTTTAAAGGAAGCCACATTATTCATAACTTGTGGATATAAAGATCCAACATTATTTCGTGGGGGAGGATAGTGTTGAAAAATCTATGGTTCGAATTCTAGATATTAATGATTTCATTACAAAACCGACATGCTGGTTGTATACAATTCCAGGTGAGTCTGTTCCGATTTCGTTTGTTAATTCCAATACTAATGAGCACTTTCTAGATACTACAAAGTTTTTATCTTATACAATGTCGGACAGACTCAGGATGAACTTAACAAGAAGACGTACAACCGATTACAAACACTTATACTTCTATTTAAGCTGTGGCGGATGTGGTGTTTGAATGAACTAATGATACCTTTGTACTTGTTGAATGCTCGATTTCGAATTCCAAATACAATACATTCGTTTGTGCTTGTGTCTCACTTCTTAATTCAATTGCGTTATTTCTGGGACTCTTAGTTCGTGCTATAATTCAAATAATTCAAAACATTATATTTACACAACATGAGATTCAGTACATTAATAATGGAGTGAAAATGACATAACGATGTTAAGTATAGCTCACCTTATCCGTAATATTTGACAATTTCGTGGAAGCTGAATGAAAAAATATATTTTTATCAGTTGATTTATTTAATAAGATTTCAGTTAATGGATCATTATCATGGACTTGATTCCAGCCGGTAATTAGATCGTAAACTAGGACACATCCAAGAGAATGAGCAATTATTGAAACTTTTCCACCTCGAGATTCAAAATCAGGATTCAACCGACGAAACATATCATATAATCTATTGAGTTCACTTTTTAAACTGCAAATAATTTCAGCTCGATACAAAGGACTAGTATAATACATAATATCCATAGCAGAACAATTCAGAACTGTACGAAGTCCTCGAAGATGAACAGGAGTGATTGATTCAACTGTATTACCGTCTAACTGTAAAACAGTTCGCCATTCAACAGGTAAAAATTCCACACGTTTATTTTCTTTATCCAAATGTGAAAAGTAACGAGTTTTTATTTTGTCACAAGTATCACGAAGCCTTTACAATAAAAGAGTGACAGTAAGTTAAATAAAATAAATGTTATAACCAAATGTAGAAAATACATTTATTTATATAAATCAAAGTTTGTAATTCAGACATCTCTAGATCAATGAATCTGGATAGAAAATAGTCAAACACCACACAACTTGTGACTGCAAACACGTAAACAAGACTGCACACAGCCAAGTTAAAGTTTTAAAAATATTATAATAAATACGAAATCGCCCAATATGAAACCAAGTGAAATCAGATTTGAAAGTTTTACGAAACAACAACTTAAACTATTAACATTCAATCCATTCAAGGAATTTATTAACAACTATTTAATCTCAATCTTGATAGTAAAATGGAGTTTTGAATAAATACTCCAACGAACAAGTAGATTGTAAAGGACATTAGATACCCACTTAAACAGATACCTTGATGATAAAGGGAACATGCAAAACCTTGTCAATAATGCAAATATTATTCATAGTTGTAGTAGTTAAATAATAACCTTTCATTGATAAGTCGTTCAGATAGAATTATACATTTAATAGAAAGATAAGTACAAAGAAGAAGTAACTAGTCGATGATTAAATAATGAATAACATTAAGAAAAAATGAAGTATTTCATTGACCGAAAAGATATTCACGTAGAAAACATAATTAATGCAGTGCTTTCTGATCAGTTTGCATAGCTTTTAAAGAATAAAAATCACCAACATAAAAACTCTTTGAAAATGTAGTAAACAGGTTAATTGTATACGTAGTACACAAGAACAAGAGCAGCCAAAAAAGTAGGCATAAACTAACTTTTCCACTATGTAATACGCTATTATATTATGGAAGTATCTTGTACAAGTTACTTCGCCTTTGAACGACATCAGTGTTTTGAGCACTGATATGAATACTTCTTTAAAAATACTAACAGTATGAAAAAGTGTAGACATCATATGTTAGCGAGACATAGATTGGATTAAATCATGCTCAACGCACGCTTGAGTTGGTGCACGCTTGTTGGCTAATTCTTATCCAATCAGCTCTAGTCGATACATGGAGAATACTCTAGAAATCTTATGTAAAAACTATAAATATACTAACGTTTTCCCTATTGTGCTTCTTGCCTCCATCTAACCTTGTTATTTGGAATATGATCTCTTTCCTGTACAACCGTTTTCTGATTTGGGGACTTGTCGAGTGATTTGGTGTCCAAGAATACTAAGCAATAGGAATAGCTGGGTTATAACCGTAAGAGAGAATTATAACATCATATGAACAAATAAACAAAAAAGAAAAATACCTGTCTCAAACTACAAAACTGCTACCTTAAAATTAGAATGTCTACGTCATGCATCGATCTACATACAGTTAACATAGTAATATCAAACTAATGGAAAATATAAAACTCTATTTGGTTCTTTATACAAAAGGAGTGAGAATAGAATTTAACCGAGAAGGTAGGAGGGAGGGGAGGGTCGATAGCGAAATATTAAACTATCAGAAGATTGGAGAGAGTAGCCACCACCAAGCATTATACTGTTTCATTGAAATCATGAACCGATCTAAGTTTGACCACCATCGAGAACGTGGATGGCCGTTTCGTCCTAGTATGGGACTCTTCAGCAGAGCACATCTACGACCCCACACGCGGTAACTGAAGTCTGGACCTTCGATCCCGAGAGAGAAAAATTAACTTCTGGACTACTGAGTCGGTATCCAACAGTTCACGAATTCAATGGAATTGAGCAATCACACAACCTCATACTGATATTATACTGTTATTTACTTTCATGTGCGCCGTAAGCTCTTTCTTAATCTTAAGTTTTAACAACATAATGCTAAGTATCATGAGTTTAACTGTATTGGGTAACACAATATTATGGGGAGACCAAGATAGCTAAGTCAGTGTAATAAATAATAATTAGTTATTTTTAAAAAGTTGGACAAGTAACAAAAACTATATCAAACGTACTCATTGCAATTGTTCAGAATAAGGTTGGTACCCATTTTTTGACCGATCCCATGGATAACAAAACAAAGGTGAGAAACATCGGCGATTTTATCCTCCTTTAGGGCCAAATCATTAAAACCACGACACAAACGAGTACCGACTGAAATTCGAAGAATTGAGATAAGTATAAATTGCTTTGGGGAAATTATAGTTTATCTGAATAAATTCCAGTGATTCGAGCAAAGAAGTCGTAGTTGTTTTAACAGACGTATTGTAAGAAATTAAAATTCACGGTCGGGGAAGGATGAAATCATACAAGTACTTAGGATTTGGACGGCGTTAAAACGTATCTTATGAGATGCCAACCAAAGTTTCCAGCCATCGAAATTTGGATTAATTATCCGCCTCAGATACAATTTTACTCTAGTATCCAATATTGGTTGACATGGGAGCATATTAAATAGGGATAGGGGAGACCAGAAGTACACATAGAATCAATCAACCGAGTCACTAACCGTTGAACCTTGTCGTTATAAAGTGTCGAATTACAGCTTAATGTTGTGAAATAACCGAAATCACCAAGTGGAGGTACTAAGTGATGTTTCTGGAAGTGGATCTCAGTGATTCAGATATATTTAGTCGTTATTTTTCTCTGTTATAGTTCAGTTTTAATTTATTCCAATGGTTTCCATCCCCCGATTTAACTTGTAATTTCTGAACGATATTTTTAATTCTTAGTTTTTTCATAATTATTAATATTACTGCCGTGGCTTCTTTTTATTTGGTTATTTACTTTTAGCCAAACTGATCCCAAGTGTAGTAGCTTAGAACGATCCAAAACCATGTCAAGTCTTATGTTGCTCATGAATGCTCAACTAACAGTAGTGAACAAAAATGGTTGGTTTTTTCATAAACTAATATGATATTTCGATATATTACCATTTATCTGAACCAGTCGTTTTCAGGAGTAATAAAAACTTTAATCTACCGAAACGTGTTTGCCAATTACAAATTAATAACCTCTCCTTTAGATATTAATCAACTACTACCCTAATTGAAGTACTCGAAAAGTTATTCTAACTTTTAACCTAATGAAATGATTACTAAAAAAGACGCTGCGGTTAAAAACAGTAAATAACCTTTAGGACGATATTAATATATGCTACTTGTAATGAATAGATAACAACTGAGAGTCAGTAATCCCTATGAGTCACAAGGTGTGGAACATGTTTGGAACTTTATTTGCTTTGTGAGTTTACGTACAGTTGGACATACCTTTCTGCATTCCCAGTTTTTGTCTGATATATAAGCTAGTGGATTCATAATACAAATACAACTCATTTTCTCCATAACAATCGACATGACAATCAGTGAAGTGAATCGTTTGGCAAGCTAAAAAAAGTTCAGAAAACGGGCGCGAATTGAATCCCCACAATACCACCGACAAAATACATAATAGTAAAGTAGTAGAGCTCGCTTCACTAGTGTTTTAATAACATTATTTAAGAATTTCATGAGTCAGTTTTGCAATGGTAAGAAAAAAGAAAGGTCGATTTAAATCTGAACTAGTTGATATTGCAAACCAATCTCTCGTTTCACCTACACCGCAGTCGAAACGTTTGTTCAAATACCACCTGATAGCAAGTCTGTTCATCGTTGGTTTAATGACAAAAGTAATTTGTTTGCACATAGGAAGTGAAATACACGAGTGGTTTTTATATATAATGGGAAACTAGTATTACTTAATGAACGGAATACTTTCCGGAATAAGTGAATCCTCATTATGTTTTCTTTATGTTAAGTATCTAAATCTCAACATAACTCAGTAACAAATTCTGTAATAGGCTTTTAAGCGTACTTATGAAACTAACAGAACTAAGGATACTTATTGTAATTTGAAAACAAATTAAATGATACAGGATTCAGACCTACTGGTTAGTGGTTGTAATGCATTTGTCTTAACCACTAAGCCATTGACCAATGGCCTAAAGAAGTAATTTTCAAGTGGTGATGGCAAATTCTGACACTGCTTTACATACTTTTGTATTGGTGTCATATAGTATTCCTAGGTTTCAGTTTAAGCAAGTATCGAAGCCTAACACACAAACTGAGGCTCAGTTACCAAGATTATAATACCTTTTAGTGTTGATTCGTCGTATTAAAAATAATGGAGGGATCTTTACAAACCGTTTGACGTATCGCCGTTAACAATTAATATTCTGTTCTTGAACAAACAGCCTCTCTTAAATGCTAGTGATATAATATTTCAGAACTCATACTAAAAACGGTTATTTACACGGTTTAATACACAACATTCACAATATAATTATGAAGAACACATTGATATCGTCACAAATCCACGTAAAAGTGATTTAAAGCACCACCACCTGTTTGCTATTTGATGTAGGCGTACATTTATTTAGCGACTAATTTGAACAGTGTACTCACTACTGACTACAAGTGTTAAGATTCATTTGCCTGACTGGATTTAAAATACTATTTATGAATTGGGATGTTTCTTTAAGCAAACTGTCATTAGTAGGTTTTCATACTTAACAGCATGAACATGATGTAGAAGGCTGTTATTATTTCATGCACCGAAAACAGCAATTAAAGTGGGAACTATATAAACCTGAGGAGATTTGTGGGGTTTGTATATGACGTTTGTGATGAGAACAGACTTATTGTAATTAAAATAAATACTAACAGTTCATGAAGTATCTTATTAGTTTTTAGTGTTTCCAGCTAACAACCATGGGATAGCGAAGTACGTGAAAGCAAAGAAGCAATGTACAAATTACGAAGTTTTAAATCAGTAAACTTACAACCTCACTTGCAAAAAGTCCTGACAAAGTAGAATACGAGTAACACTGTGTAACTTACGAACTCGTTTTTTCAACACAGTGGAACCACAGACGTTATCATCTGAATAGTTTTCTACTCCAATTGTTAAATCTTTATTTTCAGAACGAGAGGACTGAGAATTTTCGGCAACCAATTCGCTTGTTTTTACAGCATCTGCATACCGAAGAGTTGGAGCGCTAACAACAGAATGAAGTGGTGTGCTGACATCTATTCTAGTGAACAAACTGCTATTTGAGTACAAAGGTTTATCCGAGATAGCGATATTCTGAGGTTTTCTTAAGTACCAAGTGATGTACTCCGCTTCTAAACGTTCAGCCATTGACTCATCATCAAAAGGTTCAAGGGTACCACCATAACCTTCGCGAAACCAAGTGCCGCGCAAAATACGTGCGGGACACCTTTCAACTGAAGAGAAATCAAAATACAGTTTACGCATATCTAATGACAGTAATCGGTTACTGAAATCAATGAGATGTAGACAAAATTAGTTTTAGCGAACACTGAAAAACTCAGTTCTTAAATAAAGGTTTCATGTTTGTAATTTAAGACGGGTTTGAAATCTTATCTTTCATACTGATAATATATGCAATTACTGCTTAACTATTTTACCCACTGTGGGGGAATATATTCAGTTTTTTAAGATGAAAAACAGATCGCTTTTTGTGGTACTACAGAACGATAAGCTGGTCTACCCTTCAGTAAATACATACCAACCAACACGCTTAAAATATACGGAAATGCGTATCCATTGCCTGATTTAAAAAATATCTAAGCGCCTTCGCTATAGAAAAATGACGTTTTAAGGATATAAAAAATTCTACTTCAGGCGTAATACAAAGAACTAGAAGTTAAAGTACATCACGTTTAACTGAAACATTCAAAATTAACAGCTTTAACTGACTATAGTTCGTCTGTATTGTATCTGTGAATGATATTGAGTTCCAGTAGACAATAAAAAAACCGATACTCAGAATGGAAAAGCAGAGAACGAAATAAAATCACACAGTAGACTTAAGCAGATATAAACGACACAGGAATACATCGTATCTTAAACGAAATTTACCCGGCCAGTAAGTAGGAACACAACATCGCCTATCAATATCTGCTTCATAAAGTCCACCCCTTACAGATACTTTGTGATTGACGGAAGACTGTTCTGAGTTGCATATTGCAGCTCCAGTTTGATCAAACAGACAGTCGCTTTTATTACAGACAAGGCGGCTTCGATAATTCAACTCCAAATTGATAGAATCGTAACCACTAAACGGTACCCAACGTTTGTTGTTGGAGTCGCGATAAAACCAACGAACCTGAGTCGAAAACTCTAAAGTATTTTAAAAACTACTTGTTCGACTTTAAGTCCAAGGTTATTACTCATGTGCACGTTACGGGAGTTTGCAGACGATGAACCATTACAATTCGAAGTGAAGCCAACAGAATCACAAAACAGATGCCTACAAATCTATCGAAGGAGTAATTCAATCGAGAAGACCAGAATATAATTTTGGTTTACGAAATCTTCGATGAATAGAAATAGCAGTTAGCCTGCGCTGTCAATTTATTCTGCGCGCTAAGCAATCTCTAATATCATTGATTTAAGTTATTGCATTAAACAGTTTCTTATTCGATGACTTGGTTCAAATGGTGCAAACAGTTGTGGATGAAATAGAAATAGCTTTCGCTTAGCGTGCTTCCGTTTTTAGTAGCAGTGGATCACTAATACCTTCAAGAAGGAACCTAGGTATATTAACGACAATAGAGAAAAAACAAATTGGTAAATCATAGTGTGATACTATCCTTAGTCCTTAAGAATAGATCAAGTCGCCTCTTAAAGGACTCCTAGGAATTCGCTTGGACTAGCTCAGCCGGCAGTGAATTCCAGCATTTGACAACTCTTAAGGAGTAGAACTTATGTCTACAGTCCGTTCTGTTGTGTTGTGTCTCTAATTTCTGGGTGTTACCCCTTAGGTTCGCATTGAAGCTAAACTTAGGTAGGTGTTTAAGGGGATGTCCAGATGTTTTAAGGATACTGTGAGCCATTAGGTCACCTCTAAAACGCCTGTTAGGTGATTGGAAGCGCTCTTCATAAGGCTCGAATTTGAGTCCCATAACTGATTTCGTGGCCAGCCGTTCGATACTCTCCAGAGTGTCCTTATCCTTTTGGAGTAAAGGAGGAGATACTATGTTTTCTAACTCGAAATGGGGACGAGTGAAACTGTTGAAGATTATGTGGAAAGTTCTTCCATTGAACAGGCCAAAAATGCGCATCAGTGTTACCAGTACGAGGTTTGCTCTAGAGGCATTTTTGTCACGATTAGCGTAAGACTTCAAATCGTAGTGTACCAGCAGTCCTAATTTTTTTCAACTTGGGTACTTCCAGAGAGGAGTTTCCTAAGTTGTAACTGTAGTCTGCAACATGTCTCAGATAGACTACTTTACATTTTGAAGGGTTAAAGGTAAGTCCGTTGTCGTCTGCCCAACTTTGAAGTCGAGCCATATCCTCCTGAAGTGCCTGTATATCCTCTTGGTTGCGTATCTCTCTCTAAAGTCTCACATCCCCAGCAAAAATTAATAAGTCAGACGATACCTGTTGTGGAAGATCGTTTATACAAATCAAACATGGTGGATGGAGCTTCTGTTTCAAAATTTTAGCGTTGAGGAAAACGTTCTGAGTGAATGATGTTGTCATACTTTGATTGTGAGCCTGTAGCCTAAAATTCAATTCGATTGTTTGTGAATAAAACAAAATAAGCCTTTGCTTTACAAGCTTTCATATATGATATGACTGAGTTAGTGATGTCTCATCGTAATGACAGTGATATGAAACAAGCAAATCTGAAAGAGATATTGATAAATTCACGAGTCGTTCTGAGCTCTTATGAATATATTTAGTTTCCTCTTAAAAGAATTCGGGAAACTGTTTGGTGCAGTTCAACTGGTGGACACTTTTAATGTTTGCACAGCAAAAAGTATAACCATTATTCAACTACCAATGGTGCTTTTAAACCCTCGAATGTTCCCCATGATACTTGTGTAGGAAATGAAACCAAATTAATACAAGGTTGCTACGGGTATTCCGGGATTTACAACTAATTTTCTCTTCACAATTTCATAATCTACGGATACCAAACCAAGAAAACCAGAAGTCTGAAGTGGAGGAGTTTGAGGAAGCATTACAAATGCAGGAGGTATGTCATACCTTGTGTGACCTGAGGTGGTTAGTCATGGTAAGAGAGGCGTACTACAGCGGACTCAATGAAAATCTCATGAGAACATATAACTGGAAGCTCTTATTTAGAATATATACAGCAAAGCTATTGTAGTAAGCAAAAACGTAAAAGAGTTACAGAGCCGAATATTTTATGGATTTATTTATTAATACAAGAGCGTGCCTAGCTGATTCAAACCTCTTAAAGTTCATTTTTGATGGAATGGGCAGCTGGATTTCAATCTTAGTTCCTGAGATGGCGGTCTTTCAAGTGATTCAACGTCCTTGTCTATGCGATAATAGACGCAGCGTCGATTGAGCTGGAGAAAGGAGCATATACTTTTCTACTGCAATATAGAAATGTCAGACATTCTGTGACGAAAGATACTACATAAAAGCTAGTAAAAGGAAAAATTCTTCGGTGGAATATGAGAAGTTTGGAGTCTGCAGAAGTGACATATTATCGTGGAAATGATCTTCGAAAATCCACGGCGATCGTGCTGGAGAATGTCGGGAAATCTATGATGCGAATTCTAGATATCAGTGACTAGAGTACACACAAACGAAATGTTGATCAAATGCAATTCCAAGAACCAAGTAAGACTGTTACAATTTCGGTTGTTAATTCTAAAGCTAATGAGTACATTCAAGATAATACAGTGTCCGAATGACACAAGATGAACTTAAAAAGACGTACAATCGACTACAGACAGATAGACTCCAATTTAAGCTGTGACCGATGTAGCGTTTTATTGAATTAATGATTCTTTTATAATGGCATGATTTCGAACTACAAATCCAATAAATTCGTTCATCTTATCAATTACTACTTGAATAAATTGCGTTGTTTCTGATATTCTTAGTTTAAAATATAATTAAACTATTCCAACTCATCATACAGACGCCGCGTCGATCACGTTTTGACGTAGGAAATTTCACAAACTAATCATTCGGTGGGAAGGTCGATAGTCAGCCGACAGGTAGTTTGTTCTGAGCTAATGAACTTGTGGTGTATTGGTTCTCAACCACACGTCCCTTGAAGCAGAACATGCGATAACTGGAAAGACTCACACTCAACATAGATTAGGTAGTCACACAATGACAAACCTACAATTGAGGAATAGGTCTATTGTTCTAGTAGAGTAGATAAGTGCGCTTGGTTAAATAATGCTACAAACTTTTCTCAAATGTCATTGTGAATTCTCAGTTTTGAAAGACAAGAAAACTAATGTCATGCCAGATGCAAATTTATCACTAAGTCATTTAAAATCTGATCAAGTCACCTCTAGTACTTCTATGTGACGAGGGGAGTAGGCTTAGTGTGGTGTTTGTATGAACTAACGATTCCTTTGTAGTTGCCCTAATGTGGTGTTTGAATGAACTTACGGTTCCTTGGTACTTGTTGAATGCTTGATTTCGAATTCCAAATACAATACATTCGTTCGTGCTTATCTAGTACTTCTTGATCCGATTACGTTATTCCTGGAATTCTTAGTTCGTACTACAATTCAAATACTCCCAATCATCATATTGGCGTCGCGATTGAGCCTGTGGTGGAACGGTTTGACATATATTCAGATTTTGATGCTTTTGAGGATTACTTGAAAAGTTTAGAAATCTGGGCTATGACCAAGGAAGATGATGAGGATGTTAATATTGTAGCACATTTCCTCACATTCATCGGAAAAGAAGCATATAGCATATTGAAAACTCTGGCTTTACCGGAAAAGCCCACTTCGCTTTCTTATACAACTCTCAAGGATCTACTGCTAGACTATGTTAAGTATACAAACCTCAAGTGTGGTAAAGGAGGAAGATTTCGTAAAATGATTCATGAGGATATAAAGAATTCCACTACATTACGTCATCCCAACCCAGTGCATACTCAAGGTTATGCAGATAATTCATTGAGGAGTTTGGATGTAGTTCACGAAGATGGGCACAAGTTTAGTCAATGTTTGTCCTGTGGCAGGTTCCACTCCTTTAATTCATGTAAATTTCGTAATTCTAAGTGCTTTGAATGTGGTGATATTGGACGTATTCAATCAGTTTGTAATGCTAATGTTCATCTTACTGCAACTAATATTAAGTCTTGTAATTCTGATTCTATTAAGTTGAGTATTAATAATGATCATTTATCTTTATCAACGATTTCAAAAGACAGCATAGTGTCATATAGCAGTTCAGAGTTAAGTAAAACTCAGAATTCTTGCGAGACAACAGTTCCTAATCAATCAACTTATCAGATTTCTCATGTTATTGTACCGGATATAGTTTTTCCGAATAACTCACTTATTTCTGACGAAATTCCTTGCAAATCTGAGGAAAATATGTTGAATGAACCTAGTCATAATCGAAAACCTGATGTAGTTTTGATAGATGCTGATTTTTCTAATGATCCTGTACTCCACAATGACATTCTTAATAAATTTGAGGAAGCTATTTCAGAAGGACCAAGTCTTGATGTTCTATCAAATATTATTTCTTCTCATAATGTATTTGTTGGTTGTGGGAAACTTGTTCAGTGCAAAGCACAAGTGCTAAATGAGCTCGAGTTTGATTACAATTCGGATGATTTCATATCAACTGCTGTTTGTCTTTATCACGAAGTCACTTCTAATGTTTACTCTAGTCAAAAAAACTAATTGTGGTATTTGCACGGATTTCCTTAGTGAATCTTCGTGGTGAATACCTCAGATCTTCTGGCGTAATCTAAGGAATGTGCGGTGCTGTAACTTTTCTTTACGAATTCCAAATCATCTCAGGTTTATTTCCTATGAAGCACTTTATTTTCACTGTTCAACTTCTTGAGGGCATTGAATGCAACATTTCTTGTTCATTTGACTTCAAAATGTTTGACATCAGTCATTGAGGTTTGTGGCTTATGGCGGCAGCCTCATTGCGAGTCGACATGAAATCTAGGAAGTATGATTCAGTATTCGAGTCGTAGCTAATTGTTTTTTCACATGTTGCTTTAGTGCACATGTAGTAAACAGTCAACTAGTTGTTTTTGAGGGGTTTTTCTGACAACTCCATCCCGAAATCTTTCCAGTTAACAATAAGAGTACTTAATTCTTCTAAAATGAAGCATCCTCCAATTGAATACCAGGTGTTAGCTCTGTCTAACACCACATCACAATTTGAACTACCATAATCAAACTGATCAACAACTCTCGTCATTTGCATTTCAAGCAGCAGATTAATAATACGAACATTCCACTTGTATGAGATGTGTTGGCGATAACAGTAGTGAAGAGAATATTTCTGACGAACAAAGCTATTTCTTCTCCACCCATCTGGGTTCTATCAACACTGGCTAATGTTAGATTTTCAGATTCTAGTTCTCTGCTGCTTGCAGACCGGGTCATTTGTGTT